TTCGATCTCCGACTCAGACCCCACGAATTCGCCGAATTCCGAATCTCGACTTGACTTCGCCCATGCTTACTTCCTTTTTAACCCACGCACCATCGCGGTTGCACAGGCGTGATCACACAGCAGCCGGTAAGACAATATTACTAGATCTAAATATTAGATAATCTTCCTTTTGTTTTGTGCTATTTTAGATTCTTGTACCGATAGAGACTGTTTACATGTTTCATAGCTAGATTCTAGATCTAGGTCAAGGAGTCAACTTTTTCAGCATCTGCCCACCTGTCGAGTAGTCTACTTACACTTACACTACAGACAATGTACACAGCAGCACTGTGGCAGCAGTAGGCCTACTGTCGTACTGGTAGATCTACTAATCTGACGTCCGTGACCATGTTGAATGTTGTGTCGTCTGCTTTCGTCTTTGTCTCTTCTCACTTTCTGCCGCTCCCCCTTGCTCCTTCCTCGAGGGCCCTGCCTCTTTCTGCAGCCTTTCTAAATGGAAGTGGCTATTCTCACCCCCGGGGTGAGAATAAAAATACGATCCGCGTGAGAATAAAAATACGATCTCTAGACTCTAGATCTAGATATCTAGATCTAGATCTAGATCTACCTCTCACCCCGGGTGAGACTTGGCAGCGTAGGCTATTCTCACCCGGTGTGAAACAAGACCTGTTTTTCCTCATTTTGGAATACTGTCTATCAGTGTGGATGATCAAATTAGCAATGCCAATCACCCGCTGCGCCTTGGCCTTGGGCCGGAAATCGCCCTCCGCGCGAAGGGTAATTTTTGGGCTGCTCTGAATCAGAAGTGACGGTAAATTTTTACTTTCACTCCCGCACACAGATGCACTGTTTCAGGGGGCAAACTGCAGTACTGTTTGCTGCAGATCACACATAAAGCCACTAAAACTGTCGCAAATCAATTATTTTCAAGACAATTTCAAATCTAACTGTAAAATATCAAATTATGGGTAAAAGGCCCCCCTGGTACCCCCCGATTGGTCCAAAGCACGTCTATCTCGGTTAAAAACAATCAAATATTTCAAAAGCTATTAATTTGCGACGGACATGAAGTTGATATTCGTGTTCTGCGCATCAATATTTAGTCGAAAATAGACAACTGGTAGCTGAGTGTGAGATGGGAGGGAAAGTAAAAAAAATACCGAAGTGACTCTCTTCTAAGTATAGTTACGGGAAAACTCCTCGACGAAAATAAATGAAACTCGGCAACGAACCAGAGGAAAGGTTAAACTAACGACATGCCAGCGTACAACCCCGAACGATTACTAGATCTAGAACCGGAGAAATTGCTGTGTTTGTGCGAATTTCCTCTGCGGTTCGAAAACTAAGCGGAGCTGCAGGTTGATCGCCGACCACACAAGCGCCCCACATGTCTTCTTTATTGCTGTAAAATTTCAGATCTCTGCGTTTAGTAGATCTAGATTTTCCGTACCAACTTAAAATTACCACCCATTCATTGATAAAAGGAAGAGGCTAGCCGTACTTAATGACGGCTAGACTGGCAGTCTAACCGTACTTATTCTTAATATGATGGCTAGACTCACCATTTACAAAAAATAGGCCTACTGAATTGTAAATATACATTTTTAGTGTGCAGTACCTAAAGTTAAAGTATTTGTATTTGAGACAAAACCAGGTGCCTTAATGACAGTGCATGTATTTTAAACCTCCTGTTTTCTAATGTTAATAGGGCGTAAGATAAGTACGGCTAGACTGGCAGTCTAGTACGGCTAGACTGGCAGTCTAGCCGTACTTAAGTACGGCTAGACTTCTTGTCTTGCCGTACTTAAGTACGGGTAGACAGCCAGGCTAGCCGTACTTAAGGACGGCTAGACTGTCAGTCTAGCCGTACTTAATATTGATGGCTGAATTGTACGATCTGCCATGGAATATAACCTAACCTTACAGACAATTTGCAGCAAACCAACTCAGAGGTCTCTTGACAAAATTCAAAATCAAGCTGTACGATTTATCTCCGGAGCTTTGAGATCCACTCCAACTGCAGCTTGTGAAATCCGTACGAACCTGGAACCCTTGGACTTGCGGAGAGAGGCAGCAGTAGTAGAGATGAGTGAGCGCTACAAAAGACTGGAGAAAAACCACCCAAACAGGAAAATAATTGAACAGAGACAACCAAAGAAACGGATTCATGGAAGATCAATACTTGACACAGCCACTGAACTAGCAGAAAAACACCATCTTCCATGTAACAGAGAAATACTGAAACCTTTAAGACCAGAACTCCCCCCAAACACTAACATCAAGAACGCCAACATGAAAACCTCCCTCATAAAAGAGACAGTGAAAAAGGAATGTGACCCAGTAGAACTGAAGACAACAGCTCTGAAGACAATTGACTCCTACCCTAGTGATTCAATTCATATTTATACAGACGGGTCAGCCTTCAAGGGAACTATAAACGCAGGCTTTGGGGTAAGAATTGAACATCCTGACAAAACATGTGAAGAGCTATTTGACGCATGTGGTACTTCTTGTACAAATTACGAGGCTGAGGCAATCGCCATTGAAGCAGCAATCCTCCACCTGACCAACATTTTCATATTATATCCAAACAAAATCAAGAACACTATTATCTTCACAGACGGAAAGTCA